GAGTGAGGAAGCAATGATGGCCGGCGATCCGGGACCACGGTCATGTGATGTGTTCTCCGTTGGTGGCCGGCACATTTATTTCCTGAGGCTTTTTCGAGATATATGCACAAGCATGATAAGAGCCCCAATTGGGTCAATACTCAGCCAGGGCACCCGGTCCATACATCTCAGAATTGCTATGAGCAGAATAATGTGGCATGTAATCTACGTCGACGGATTTCGTCCACATAACTAGCCACGGAAATTCTCGATGCCTTGCCGCGACCGGTGAGCACATCACATGACCGTGGTCCCGGATCGCCGGCCATCATTGCTTCCTCACTCTTTTGGACGCGCTCAATCGAACGAACAGACGAACGGACGAACGAAATAAGAATTGAGCAGCACTGTTGGCTTGTCTGCTCCAACGCTTCATACGTCTTATAATGTGCACGGTGGAACGTAAGGTCACCGGTGATTCTGATAGATGCGCTGCGCGCTGTGGCATTTCTGGCAGATCGGAGTCCGTGATGAAGCGCCACTGCTCTAATCGGAGTACCCAATCAATGATGCTCAATAGTCCCCGCTTAAAACCCTGTGTCCCTAGTGACGGAGTCAGGTCGGTGCTCAGTGGAGAATCGGCGATATATACCTGTTGGAGGATCGACTGATGGAGTAGCGCATTCGCTCACCTTCGCTAAAAGGAACCCGAAAGACTTATTACCTCCGTCGATTGGGTACGCATGTTTATAGGGTCCTCGAAAGACGGGAGCTTACCAAGGCTATTCAACGTCATGGGTGACTTCGACCTGTTGGATACCTCGAAACCGTCTTGCCGTAATCCGCGCAGCATTTCCACTTCTTGTTGATGAAAATGTATAGTATCACCGTCATGGAACTGATTGAACATATGTAACCTAGTTCAAGGTATACTGCAACACTATAAGCAGACGAACGCCCGTCAGTGTAAGCCTTCGTGGTTAATTACACCGAGTAATAACTAACGCGTGTAAGTATATCGCGAACATGACAATGTTACAGGTAATGATGGTCTGAAGGCACGTCTCCGGGGGATTTTTGATGGTAACAGGTCCGTTTACCTTGTATGGGAAAACGAATACCAAAGTGGATATGTTTGGTTTCCCATGTCCGTGGTCCATGTGGCGACGTCCTCGCACAACTCGACTGCGTTCTGGCCATCTACGCAGAACTCATTTGGGAAAGTCTCTTGGGTGCTGGGAGGGCGTGCGAGCCAATCTGTAAGCTGGATGAAATATCACTGACCCCGTATCTCCGGAATAACAGCGGCGGTATCATCTCCCATCACGTCATTCGCGTTTACACCCAATATCTACATGTGTCCTCTTCCTCTTCTGAAATACGGACTTACTTTCGAGGCCGCGAGCCTTGAGAAATGTAGGGGCGGGTCTTTGACCCGTAACCGCTTTGCTGTGGACGCTAAGAGAAGAGTCGGGAGTCAAAGAAGACACATAAACGCCTGGCGCGCCCCCAGCCAATGAGAAGCAGCTCATCGTGATACAGGTCGCGCGTTCAGGGACCTAAAATGGACGGATTGATGATGGCAAGCATCCATGATGGCACTGCCAGTTGCCACTCTGCCCGGGTTGCAAGGCCCCCAGCTTCCTCTGCTCCGTTCTCGTCTCGGTCACCGACCGCTGGTCGTCGTCCTATAACATTCTTGAAGCCGTAGCGCTCTCGCTTCTCCTAATCTGGCCGCCTGGTGCTGCGACGCGACGATGCTGAGCTTCATGAATAGGGGGAACCGCCGCAAGGCGAAGAAGGTCGACATTGCGTCCATCCGGCGCCTCCAGTCGCCGCCCTCGCCTGCGTCGTTCGCGTCCCCGGAGATCGTGGACATCGTGGGCGAGAAGCTCGACGCGGACCAGGGACTGCGCTCGCCGCACGGCTGGGGTCGCGATGCTGTACCAGCGAAAGATGATGGGGAGGACCGGCTCGACTCACCTAAGGTGCAGCTGGAGATCTCTAGTGAGCCCTTATCCACGTTCTTTCCCCCGGATCTCTTGCGCGATAGTTCGCCTCCTGCGCGTCCAAATGTTATTGGTCAAGAGGCACGGCTAGCGCCAACCCGCAACGATAGTCGGCGCGCACTTGGTAGCGGGCCTCTGGATATCATGGTGATTGGTTCAGAAGGCGGTCAGGTAAGCACTGTTTGCGCCCGACCCGTGCCCTACCTCGAACACTCACCCTTAGTTGAGCAGCCTTCCGTACCCGTACTTCATGAGGAGGAACCAAAAGAAACCGTAATATAATCCACTCTGTTCTCGAAATCTTCTCGCTAACGTTTAACAGAGCGCAACGCCACCGCGCAAGCTTCCCCCGGCACCGATCAGGATCCCCTCCGCAAGCGGCTCCAGATTCCACATCCATCGCTCCGCCTCCGAAGGGACCAAACAACTGCACCCCGACGCTACCAACGACGCCCCCTCCCAGCCGGGCACGCGCCCCGCCTCCTTCCACGACGGCGACGCCGACATGGACAACCTCTCCACGATCTCGGGTACCACTCTCGCACGCGCACTTATCACAAACTCCTTCATCCTCACGACGAGTGAGTCGCGGCACTCGCGCTACCGTAGCGGCGGGATGACGCGCCAGGATTCGGCGACACTCCCCAAGGGCGAGCACCCGTACATCAACTCGCCCTACTGGCGCGATCGACACATAAGCGCGAGCGGCGAAATTGTTCAAACGCCCGCGCCGCCGGACGGCGAGTCGAGCATCCCACCTGTACCACCTGTACCGACGCTCGCGCTCATTGACGCGAGGAGCAGGCCCGGATCGTCGGCGGGGGAGAGCGACCAGGAAGCCCCTACGGTGCCGCCCAATGCCCGGCGGATATCCCGCATCTCGGAGGCGCCCTCGCCGGCGCCTAGCACGCCCGAGCCGTCGACGGCGGCGAGCAGCGTCATGAGGAGCGCGGATGCCAGCGGCAACGGAACCTCACCATCGCACTACAACAGCCCGGGGCACCAGGATAGTACGCCGCCTTCGTCCGCGCCGCTTTCATCATCCCGGCTCCCAGCTTCAGGCGGGTACTCTGTCGGGTCGGGGGAGGACATCGGGCATATCCTGGATGACTTCCAGTTCCTCTCGCCGATGGGCGGTCGGTTTGTTGGCGCACCTAGCCCTGACCCTAATTCTGCGTCGTCCTCTATGTTGTCTGTGCCCTTGCCTGGGAGGCCGCGGTCAATGAGTCAACCGCGGGATTCTTCTCTTTCTGGTAAAGGTCTGTCTAACGTTCTACCTTGCTGTTCGGGTGAGGAGTATACTGACTTAGAGTACGCAGCTGTGTATACTATCAAACCTCCCGAGCTGAACGTTGTACGGACGCGGTCCGATTCTCGCTCGTCGCAGACGTCGCGTGACAAATACCCCCAGCGCTCCCTCAACCTGCTGCCCATCGGTGAGGGCCCGCGGTCTGCGGCAGCACCCAATACCCCCGACGACGATACCCGCCCCTCGACTTCCGGCATCCAACAGCGCCTCTCCCGCATGGCGCGGTCCTCTGTTTTGCGGTCCGCCGCTGCGAAGCTGCCCCCTATACGGTCCTCAACCGACCCCGAGGAGCCCTCTCTGACGTCCCCTGACCCACTCGACACTATCCTGCTCCCCGTCACTCGTTCTATATTCAACCGGCAGCGCTCGGGCAGCGTACCCGATCCCATCCGCGTCGTCCGCGAGCCGCCATATTCGCGCGGGATACCGATTGACGAGGACACCGACGAGCACGCGAGTACGGCGTCTGGGACGCAGCAGACGTTCCCGGAGACCCCTCGGATGTTCAGCCCGCTGTGGTCCGCGAACGCAGACACGCCGCCCGTGCCTGCTGTGCCGCAGGTGGTGCAGAGGGTTTCGGTGACGGCTGTTCCTTCTGCGTCGCGTGGTCTGCAGGTTGAGCGGCCGGCTCTGACTAGGGCGGCGACAACATCCGCCGCGACAGCAGAGCCTGCAACGCGGCCTCGTGTACCCTCTACCCCTCCTCCCACAGCGGATAACTCGTTGCCGCCTTCACCTAATACCCAGGTCATTGTTGTTCCTGCGCGAGCTGAGGCTGAGGTGAGTGCTTTAGCGGTGAGAACGCCTCTGCCGCCATCTCCGCAGCCCGAAGCCGCACTCTCTGCTCATGAGCAGCCTTCAGAGGGGTCTTCTTCCTCTTATCACGGCCAATCTTCATCTGAGAAGAGTCGTACAGTTGATGCACCCCTGGATACCCATACCCAACCTACGACTCCTAGAATCCATGAGACCCCAGCGTCGCCAGAGACCCCGGTATCTGCTCGCCAGCACGGCCTTCCTGCCCCGCTGCCCCGGCCGCCAAGAACCCCTCCAGAGGAGCCGTCGTTCATGGCCACGTTTGTCCCCCCTCCACCGTACCAGGCCGCCGTGAACGATCAGCCTCTTCGGGTATCGGCCGCTCCAGAGTACAGCCTGCCTCCTACGACCCCTGTAAACACTCGGAGGCAGACGAGGTCACGCCCGCCGCTGCCTATAGGTCCGCGAAGGCCAAGTCAGCATGTCGGCGGTCTGCACAATATAGCATCGATCGGGCGTGAGCGCAATGGGTCCGTTTCGTCCTTTGTCAGCAATGGGGCTCCTCAAGGGCAGCATAGGCCTGGAACGCCGTCCTCTTCCTCTATCAGATTCCAGACCCTGCCTGTCCGATTCCGTGGCTACACTATTGATATGGCGAAGTGGAATTTCACTTCGGAGCAACTGCAGGGCATCGTGTCGAGAGCTATCAGGCACTCCAGTCAGGCTTCGTCGATAAGGCTCCTCTCACTCGATGTCCTCGACCACGAGCTACCGGAAGAATTGAGCAGACTGGAGACTCTTGCTGCTGAGCTCAAGACACGGTATAAGCTACTAGCGAGGAAACGCACGGCGTTATTGGGCACTCTTACTGGTCAAAGTGATCACGCCGGTGCCGGAGATTATTCGCCACGCCACAGGACGATGGAGGATCTCACGGAAACGTCCACTTCCTTGGACCAAGTGGTGGAGGAGTTATATCTTGTTGCCGACCAAATTCAGCAGCTGAGAAGTCTGGTCGAGGTTCACTCCAGTAGTGCGCTGGCGATGGCTTTGCGAAAGTTGAACACTAGCTACGCCAAGAAAAGCGCTGAAGCCGAGTCCCTACGCGCTCGAGTGGCCGCTCTGGAGGCAGAGCGCGACGAGGCTTGGAAGCAGGCTGAAGAAGTTGCGCACGAATTCGACGATCTACAGGAGCGCGTGAACGAGACTAACGGGGCTCAGACTCCGTCATCCGCGAAGTCCCCTGGCCCAAGTCGCCGGTCTAGTCGCGTTCTGGTGGCTCGCAAAACAAGTCTGAGGGCCTCTAAAGCAGGCTTGCGTACGTCCGGCGGTAGAAGAAGTCAACGTCTTTCAAGTAGCAGTTCTCAGAGATTGAGCTTGGTACCTTCGGCCGCTCGATCGACATTCTCGATGGACGATGTACCCCCAGTACCGCCTATTCCTCGACGTCGCCCAGGTATTGTTACTGCAGACCTAGCGAGCCGCGCTTCAATGGGTGAGACTATCCCTATACCCTATTGAAACGTGCTGATCTTTCCCTCTTTCCAGGTGTTTCATCTGGTGGAACTGCGTTGTCAGCCACGAGGGATATGGTGGAGGCTCAATTGTGTGATATGTTGGGAATTGCAGTCAACGACTTAGGTCCAGATGGACGAGCTTCTAGACCGATGTCCATTGCAAGCTTAGAAGACGCTGCAAGATCGACATCACCCCCGTTGTCTCCTAGGCCACGTAGAGCTTCCCTGCCCGCGAATGTTGATGATCTCGGCAAGATCTACGACGCCATGAGTTATGACGTGAGTGAAATAAGAAATTACTTTGCCTAGAGATCTGACCATTTCTGTCCACAGCCTGCCTGGTAGCTACCTCTGCCAGAGGGACGACAACCTTATTTATTGCGAAACGCGCTTATTTATTCAAAGGCCTTGTTTTCATATTGTGTCATACCAAGTCACTCGTTACCATTCAATCGTTTCGCATCTGTCATTATCACTTAGCAGGGACTGAGGGTCATTATGAGCATTAGTATAACATACTAGCAAATACAGCATCGGCACAGATACGTCGTACATACCAGGCAACAGCTACACTACCAAAATATGAGCGAATAAATACTTCAATGGCGAACCCTTTTCCGCTTGATCTGTATCTCGCCCTCAATGACAGGCTGCGATGGCGCTGACAAGTCTCGGCCATCTTCAGATTCCAAAGCTGAGCTCAATCCCGAGCTCAACTCCCCAGCGTCTTCTGAGCGTCCTCGTTTCCGCGATTGCTTAGGCGTCGTGTGGCCGTTCGTTAGATGGGGGAGTTCAGGCGAATGGAAGTCCCGAGATTCCTCGGCAAGCGGCTCCGTCTCAGGCTTGCGTTTAGACCGGGCTTTGGGTGTATGGACATCAGGGTCTTCGTTTTCGGATGCAGGTTCAGATAACTCTGATTCCTGGGCACTCAACTCGGCGCCTGTTGCCCGTGTCACCCGACGGGGTCGAGGTCGAGGTCGAGCATCCACTGTGTTCGTCTCCTCGACCAAACCTTCCACCTCATGCTCTTCGTCATCAGTGCTAACCAATTCATTGCTCTTGCCGGCCTTCTTTCTCCTTGGCTTCCCTGATGCTACCAGAGATAATCGTCAGTGAACAAGATTCATAGATTCAGCTATGATAGACTATCACCTTTGTCTTTGGAAGCGGACGTGCCAAGACGCTTCTCGTAGAGTCGGTGCGGCTCCCATGGCTTCGCGGTTGGGGAAGGCTGCACCTTAGCTTGTGCAAGGATTTGTTCCATATGCGCCTTTCTGTTCCACTGGATCAGTACGGTTTATGGGGCCAGTCGATGAGACTCACATTCGCAGGGCATTCCTACTATCCATGGGGCTAAGGAGAGGAGTCAAGACTTTGAAGAAAAGCAGGGCCATGTTTCGACCCTTCTTGTTCCCGTTATTCTCGTATGCAGCTAGTCGTTTCCCGATCCAGGTTAAACAGGACAGGTGTACATCAATGACAAACTGGATATCGAGTCGACGAACGATGGCAAGCTGCGCACCCCTCATGACAAAGCATGAAGAAAGCAGTTTGGCGAGGGCTACGGAGTGGTCTGCATTATGATCTACACCATCTAGAAGCAAGCTGAACGACTGTGGGGGGTTCGTGACAGGTTGTCAATGATGGATAATACGGACTCACTTCTTGGATAGCACGAGTCACTATATCTACTATTAATTGCCCGTTGCCGTTAAAGAGGCCCTCCTCGCGAACAATGTCAACGATGACTTTGCAGCACACGTCGAACGATGGGCCGAGGCGACCGTAATGCGCGAGCATAACACTGCTGTGATGGGCATGGATAGCGCCGGTACGGATTGCGCGGAGGAAAGTTGTGATGACACCGATGAAAAGATATTCGCGCTCCAACTGAGATCTGGACGTCGGTCTGGGCTCTGCAGTGGAGTGTGAGTGACGGTAACAGATACCCCAATGAAATCAAAGACCTTGTCTGCCATTCTTGTTGCTTTTCCCAGGTTTGGCTTTGCCTTTATTCGGCTCGTCCTTATCTTCGTCATCCGATGGTTCAGAGTCTTCAGCATCCCCTTGTTCATCCCCGAAGGGGGCTGACCCGATAACTTCTTCAGAATATCGTTCGATCTCTGCTTGCACAAATCCCGTGCATCGGTACTGTGCTTCATCATCCAGGGACAAGGATAACGAAGCTGTGGGTAAAGCTGTTCCATCAGGTGCGACGGTCTGGACTGGACAGAAAAGAATATGGAGATTCATCAAATTTTGGAACGCCTGTGGAAATCCTGTAAGGATAAGTAGTATAGAGGAAGGACTGGACCCACAGCTCGCTTGACCCCCTCCATCGTGTTGGATTGGGTACCGACAGCGTACTCAAGGAGCTTTTCAAGAAGAGAATTGCGCTGCTCCCGGACGCTTTCACGGTATCTCAACTCTTCATCTGAAGGTTCAGAGGCTGCGGTCAATCCTTTTGCTTTCCAGACAATGTGCAAGGTAAGGATTTGGATGGCCTGCTCGATCATCTACGGGCCCACGCGTCAAGCATTGTAATCACGGCATGTGTAGATGGCACTCACCGCTTCCTCTTCTTTATAGCCCAGTCTTCCTCGATCCACCAGGGCATTGATAATGTCCCAAGCACTACTCTGCTTCCCACTCTCGTCCTCCTCCATCCATGCTGTCATATTGCGCATGCCTGCAAAGGAAGCTAGGCGAGAGCAAGTCGCAGCAAGAGATAGGACTTCATCCTCGCTGAAGGAGGCAACTTCGAGCTCTTCACGACCTCCAACTATTTCGCGTAATGATGAAGACAGTTCATCCTCCAATTCAAGCACCTTGGTATTGTTGGTATTTGAAAGACTCGTCCCGTCAAGAAGGTGGCGAATCGTCGCCACGGCAGGCGAGAGAACCGTAGGAGACGAGTGCGACAGGAACTGTTTCGTCACGTCGTCCCATAGGCTGGAATAAGCCTGCGTACTGAGTTAGCGGGAACGTGTTGGAGAGACGATAAGAGTCGTACTGCAATCATTCGCATTTCTAAGTACATGTCCAGGTTCATGAGCTGCGGTATGATTAGCACTTCGCCTATACGTTTCTCATCCGTTTGATGCTTGACGAAGAGGCGAGGTAACGCTTTGATGAGGGCACGGGTGATGTCTGACACGACTATTTCCTCTTCACCCTATCATCAACAATCAGACAGGCCAAACCTCGTAGTCAGCATGACTTGCACGCACCTTCTTCGATCCGATAGCATCCGCTTTCGTTTTGCGGATTGCCGCTACTAGAACCTCGAGCAGAACACCTTCCTCGACTTCCTCCAATCGCCAGGTCTCGTCGACTACTGTCTCCTCCAAACCTTCACTCCCCTTATTTCTCCTTCCTCGGCTGTCCGGTGGGCGTGCCTCCGTTGCGGAATGATCAAGCAACAAGACGTCAAGCAAGGTCTCCCAATCCCTCACCGAGTCGATCTCGTCCCAAAGAGCCTCTACGGCAAGCGCAGTGCGGCCCTTCTGCTGAGCACTGAGCAGCGAAGCTATCTCCTTCAACCTCGGAGTCTTCGACCCTCCTTCGCCAGAGTTGACGCTCCGCTCTCCATCCTCATCCTCCTCGCGCCCGGAACCGTGCGCCCGCTTGTCCAGCGCCCTCCCCCACTTCACAAGCAGCGCAGCGAGAGCCTTGATCCCCGCCTTGTCCCTCTCGCCCTGGCTCACCTTGCTCCGCCCGACAAGCCGCTCCTCCACCGCCTCGCGCCACACGCCCCCGACGAACCCGCTCACAGCCTTGCGCACCTTCGCCTCCTCGTCATACACGAGTAGGCACAGCTCCTCGCGCTGCTCGTCTTCCAGCAGCGCGTGCCCGTCGATCGCCTGCAGCACCTGCACCACAGCCACTCTGACAGCCAGCTCCGTGTCCCCCGTGGCCATCTCCACGAGCCGCGGCTTGAATCGGTCGGTGAAGTGGTGCATTGACCCGATGTAGTCCGCGTTCTCGTACGCGCCGACCAGAGCGCGCACAGCCTCGAGCCGGACGGCGGTGGTCGTGTCCGAGAGCACCCAGCCGACGTAGCGCAGGTAGGACCCGTCGAGAAAGTGCGAGGGGTATTTCTTGAACCATTGGCCCATCGCGCGCACGCACTCGGCGCGGATGGTGGGGTCCAGGTCGCGGTACCGATGAACGAATACGCTAGCAAGGTACTCAGTGGATTCCCAGTTCTTACAGGCTCGGCGAGCACTCACCCGTCCACGAACTCCTTCAAGAACTCCGCCACCCTCGACCGCCGCTCCCTAATCTCCTTCGCCTTCGCGTCCAACTCCTTCTCGCGTCCCCCCTTGCTCCCCGCCGCCTTGCGTTTCCGCTCGCCCTCCTTCTGCCGCCCGACGACCTCCGCCTCCTTTTCGACCTTCGCCGCGACGTCGCACAGCGCCGTCTCCATCTCGAGCGCGATCACCGTCGCCGTGTGCCGGAAGCTGCGCAGCTGCGACGAGGACATCGCGATCACCCACGTCTGCAGCGTCGACATGAGGTCCGTGGTGTAGAGTAGGCGCAGCTCGGCGGCGGAGGTGACGAGGCGGTCGATGAACTCGGACAAGGAAGCGCGGAAGCGCTTGAAAATGGGGAGCCGCGAGGTGAGGGGGTATACGTGGGTATCATCCTGCAGCATCATTCCAGTTAGCTGTGACACCTCGGCTGCAAGCAAGAATACGCCGCACCTTCTTTAAGCCTTCTGTGAAATCATCGAGTGCGTCGACCACTCCGTCGTAGTCCATCACTTGGTCCGAGTCAACCGAGTCATTGCACCCGCACGCTCGGAAAATACAATTGATCAGTTCAGCTTGGGCAAGAGCAGGTGACTGAGACAAGGATTCGAGAAAGTCTTCGACGGTGGATTGTAAGGCGGCAGAGGGGTTTAGGATAGCATCTACACGTACGCTGTATGCTAGTATCAAGCGCAATGAGTATGAAGTGAAATACGCACTGAATAGCGAATTGTCGGCTGAGATCTTAGTCTCTTCCGCTAATTTATCGGCGTCGAACACTCCATTAACCCCTGCTTTTCTTCCTCTTCTTGTCGGGCCTTTGGTCTCCTTCGTGCCAGTTGCTTTTGCCACACGGTGTTTCTTGGTCGGGGGAGGTCCTGTACCAGCTTTGGCTTTCCCCTTCCTCCCGGGCGCTGCGGCAGACTTGCGCTTTGGTTTGGGGGCGCGTTCCTCCTCGCCGTCATCCTGCTCCTCCTCCTGCTCCTCCTCCGGACCTGACACTCCCCCCGCAATCTCCCCTTCCGTATCGGTATCGTCCCGTTTACGCTTAGCGTCCTCTAGGGGTAGACGTCAGTAACACCATGGAGACCTGCAGTGTGGGACGCACGCGATCCATATTTCTCAACGATCTTCCGTTCTCGCTGCGAGCGCCGCGGCGCTGAGCCCTCCGCATCCGACATGATGTTGTGGTGAAATGGCAGCTGGGAACGCGAGCGCGACGCGTTGCGTGACACCTCGCGCTTTCGGATGTCGGGCCCGTTTTGTGGCAAGAATTTCCATATTGGGATATGTTATTGTGGCAAAATCTCCCTGCTGCTCTTAGAGATCAACTGCCCCTGGTTGCATTTCGTCGCTGTACTGTCAGTGGCAGAAATTTCCCAAGTCCTCTTGAGTTTTAGCTCATACATCCTGTGTCGACTGTGCTCTTGGGATATCATTGAGCTCATCTAAGGTGGGACTCAAGGGGGACCTGCTTTGACACGCGTTTGCCCACATTGTCCGTTGAACAGCCATATCTCGGGTATGCTCTCTGTCTTTTGATGTTGCCTAGGCATAGGACAGAAGGGTCGACATTTTTACCATATCTGTGCTCCAGATTACCAGCCACGTTCAGCCAGGAACTTCGAAGCAGGTCACAGGTTCCTTCGGACCGCCGTACCCCAGTCATATCAGCGATGGCTTGCACAGCACGTCTGGGGTAAACAGAAACTATTTCAGTTAAGGATCCTCGTGATGTTCTTGATCATAGGATACCCCGGAGAGGGTATTTCCTAAGTGTAAGCAGACCGAGGCCTCTTGCTCCTGGACATCGTCCAGTCCAGCTTTACATTGACGTTCCCCAGCGTTCCTCTGGTTGTCTTCATGCTGCCTTCCGAGAACTCTGGAACGTTAGGCCCTGATGTCTTGACATCTATGACTGATAACAATCTGACGAAGCGAGTCCTATGGAAGCTGGACATCTACGTCCTTCCCCCGTTAGCCCTTGTATGTCCATCGGTCTCCTGTTGGTTTCCTACAGCTACAATCATACGCTAGCTCTGGCTGGCCAATTTCATAGACAGATCAAATATCGGGAACGCGAGGTAAACCATCTGTCACTGTATCCACAAGTTGATACGAATTCTAGATGTCCCCTGGCAGGATCGCAGGACTAGAGAAAGACACGCATCTGCACGGCAATCAGTTCAACATTGCATTGACTGGTGGGTAGGAATTCATAAAGCAGATCATGTAACCTGATCTGTTATCACGTATCAGTCTTCTACGCATCGTGAGTGGTGCCGTGCACATCCAGATACAGTTCCTGACCTATACTCAGATACATCATTGTCGAACTGCGTGAGTGATCACAACTGAACCTCAGACACGGCATAACCTGTCATTACTTAGCATCCAACTGGGTGCTCAAGAAAGTCAAACCAAACCGCTGGCTGCCTGTCCTCATATGCACTTGGGGCACAGTCACGACTCTGAGTGGGCTCATCCAGGACTTCGCCGGGCTAACAGCCGTGCGCGTCGTCCTCGGATTCTGCGAAGGCGGCCTTTTGCCGGGAATGGTGGGGCTTTCTATCACGTCACTGGCCGAGGTACTGATGTGGTGGGTCCAGGTATTATATCTGAGTACATTGTATAAGCGGCATGAGCTGCAGCTGCGGTGAGTCGTGTTCCATTCTTGCCTGTGTTCTTGCACTGAGCGGCTAGCAGCGTCGGCATCTTCTACGCTTCGGGTATGTTACATCGCACATGACTCCTTTAAATCCGCTCTTTATTCTAGTTCACCACTGCTAGCTTCCCTCTCAGGCGCCTTCGGAGGTATGCCTGTACAATCATAACAAATCAACTACTCAGTTTACCATCGAACTCCCTACAGGTCTTTTGGCAACCGCGATCCTGAAAATGGACGGAGTAGCCGGTCTCGCGGGCTGGCGATGGATCTTCATTCTCGAAGGCCTTGCCTCGATCGCATGCGGACTCATCGCAGCTGTCTTCCTCCCCGCTGACATACAGTCCGCGCGCTTCCTCACAGACGAGGAGAAAGCGTTCGCACGTGCGCCGTCTTCTGTGTTCTGTGGCAATGAAATGAATAATGATGATGATTGTGGTATTTTGTAGTGAACCGGTTTAGACGGTCCGAGGTTACCGCTGCGAGCGCACCCGTCGCGAAGCCCGAACCCGTCGACGATGTCGAGAAGAAGGGCGTCTTTGACATAGTCGAGATGCATGAAGAGAAGCCGGAGGATATACGAGTCTTCCAAGAGGACGAGCAGTTTGAATGGGGGGAGGTCATACGAGGCAAGCTATTCCCCCTCTACCTGCTACTGGGTGAGCGAACTGACTATTATACAGGCGTGAAGGACATCCAAGTATGGCTCACCGCGTTCGCGTACCTCGGCTTGATAGTCGGGCTATACTCCTATTCGTTGTTCTTGTAAGTGGGTCCATCTGAGTTTCCGTAACACTGGGCTGAGAGGCATAGACCAACTATCGTCGCGGGACTGGGGTACGAGGGATACCAAGCCCAACTGCATACAGGTTTGTATAGCCCAGGTCTGGACTCGAATGATCCGTACTCATCGAGGAGACCCTCACTTAGTTCCGCCATACGTTCCTGCAGCGGTTCTCACAGGTACATCCATTCCTCCATCCCCACGCCAAAACTTGCAACGCTGAACACTCCCCTTACAGTCGTCGTGGCGTACTTCAGCGACCGGCTGAAATGGCGCGGCCCCTTCATCCTCATCTGCCTCCCAATGACCATCATTGGTGCGCTCTAAGTTTGGTCAGTCTCCACGAGAGCCTGTGCTGACCGGCTGCGTAGGCTACATCGTGGCTATCACCGCGCAGACGAACACGGGGCGCTATGCGGCAGTGTTCCTAATGGCAGCGGGCGTGTATGTATTCAGTCCCAGTCTCAGCGCTGACCTTCGTATAGCCGGCGAGCAGCTGATCGACGTTGGGCTAGATATCCGTCGGGCCCATGCATATTGTCGATCCTCCCGAATAATAGCAGTGGGCATTACAAGAAGGCTACGACCACTGCGCTGCAGCTCGCTGTCGCAAATACTGGGTAAGTACGTCCATGGAAACTAGGAGACGGTATACTCACCAATGATCTCCATCCAGAGGATTCATTGCGACCTTCGCATACACGTCAGGTTAGTTTGGGACTCGAATGGGGGGATTCTGATGTTCCTGGTCTTACCACCCATATGCGCAGACCAAGCACCGCGGTACATCCGGGGACACAGCATCGCCCTGGCATTTGCGTGTCTGGCATGGGTCCTCGTTGCAGCTAACGTGTAAGTTTCTTAGTTAGGTTAACCTGCTCTGTACCTGTTCTCACTTTCCCAAACAGTGCCTATTGTGCATTGGAGAACAGAGCGCGCCGCGCGGGGCGGAGGCAGTCGAATATAGATCGCTATAGAGAGCTTTGGGAGTCGGGGAAGACGCGGGCTCCCATTGGAGATCGGCACCCTGAGTTCCTTTTCACTCTATAGACGTTGTGTTCCCTGGTGTCAGAGTTCAGATGCGTCGAAACTACTGAAATTTAGCTAGTCCAAGCCTCCAAATCGGACATCGGCATTGTCTTCCAGCCACTTCATCCACTTCTTCAGGAAAGATCCTCCGTGCTGGACTGTAGAAGAATCCCCGACGACGCACTACGACGACATCAGCCCGCTGTCACCGAAGATCTATGATGAAACCCCTACCAGGTGTCGTCGTGCTCTAGTCATTGCAACTACGGAGTACGTTAGACGCGTAGTCGAGGAGTAAACGACTATCATACCGTTCAGTCTCCGCTTATCCTTCAGGAAACCTACCTCCCTCTATGGACAATCATGTATTAGTTCAGGGCAGACCGCTTCGTGACTCCGAACACTACTCACCGTCTCGTTACTTCTCACCAGGCTAATCACAACAGCCTCCTTTTCACGGCCTTGCATCCCATCGACCGTCCCAATCTCGAGTTCAGCGCCGTACGTGGGCCGCAAGAGACTTGTGAGCAGCGTCACCTGCGCTTGATACCTGTTTGCGGCATGAGTACTACGTCTCTCAAGTGTATGATGACTCCTACGGCGTGATGACCGCGATCTGGGAAGGCAAGACGCTAGCACCGATCTGTCATTCGCAAGGTCAGTCAGCAGCTATAGGGATCCTAGTCTCCCGAGGCATCTCATACCAGCTTCTCTACCCATCGCTTCACCACTTCCGCCTCGTTCTCATTGCACCTACTACCCTCATCCCCGTCGCCTTCGAGCCTCTCGAAGTACTCGCACCCCGCCGTGTCGAAAAACACCACGGGCGTGCCCAACACCTCCTTCTCGTCCTCTTCGTTATCCACGCCTGCGTTGGACAAGTCTTTGAGGAGGTGTGCAGCGACCGACGGGTGCGAGGTCAGTTTCCCCGCGTACATGACTTTCGACGGGAATTCGGCGATCTGCGCGTGCATTCTGGGATGCCCTAAGTTACGGAATCAAGATGGATTTTGGGTGAATGCTAACCGGTATTGTACATTGAGCATGCGCTTGATTCCTGGGCCGTACATCTTTTCGAGCCTGTCAAACAGCGTGGTTTCCAGCGACCGTGGAGGGCGTAGGCGCTTGGACGGCACCTTCGCCGCCGCGGGAGGTCGATTACTTGGAGCCTTCGCGCTTTTGACGGCCTTGTCATCCTCCGAGCATTCTGATTCAGACGACTGAGACGCTTCGTCATCACTCAGTGGTTGCGGGGATTCCAACACATCCTCAGTCTGCGCGCTCTTCTTCTCTTTCTGTTTCGGGTCAGGTTTCTTGCTGGAAGACTTCGGGGTAGAATTGGGCTTATCCTTCGACTTCGCCTTCTTGCTGTCGACTGAGAGGATGGTGGGAGGAAGTTGCATGGGGTCTCCCGCAAGGATCAGCTTCTTCGCCTTGAATATGGGTATCCAGCAGACCTGGAGGATACAGAAGTTAGATCATTGAAACCTTTACCGTGCGGACTATAACATACCGCTTCGAGGGCCTGGGTGGCTTCATCAATGATGAGGACGTCGAAGTCGTGCTTATACAACTGTTTGCTCCCCGCAGAGTGGCATGTCGCCAGAACGATCTACAAGACGTGAATAGTTGGCAGCGCTGGCAGCAGAGGTGCACTCACCTGGGACTCAGCCAGGACAGTCTCCACCACTCCACCTTCCCGCTGCCGATACCTAAACCCATAAAAGCTGCAGCTTTCCACTAGATACGTAAACTCTTACTCTTTCCGCAGTGCCTTCACCTCCTCCCACATCTTCTTTCTCTCCGCGCCTCGTGGGGCCTTACCCTTTGCCCCCTTGCCCTTACCGGTAAGCACGCTCATCGCCGCCTCGATCTCGTTCTTGACATCTTTCGCCAGCGCAGCCTGAACACCCTCCATCAGAGCCACCTCGATTCTTTGAGTCTCCGAAACGCACCTGGTCACTCCTGCCAGCCTGCGCGTCAAGGGTAGCGTCGAGGACCCCCTCGTGCGCCATTACGCGCGCGGGGTGGCCAAGGCGCGTGATCTTCAGCTTCTCGCCCGTAGATGCAGACGGGAGCGCGACGAGCCGCTCGACGATATTGTCCACCGAGAGGTTGGACGCGCCGCATACGAGGAGCCGCAGCGGTTTGGAGTTCGAGGGCGTCACCGAGGTGAGCTGGCGGATGAGCTCGATCAGGGTGTGTGTTTTCCCGGTGCCTGCAGTGCAGTGGGCATTCAATCGGAGGGGCGGGCGGAAAAGGTAATAGCGTACCGGGGGGCCCGTGGATACACGCCACTTCGGGGGCGGCGATCGCAAACTTGATGGCCTCTTTCTGGCTGTCGTTGAGGGTCGCGTCGAAGAACGTTACATCTTTGAGTGGCTGTGGCTTCGTGGGCTCGCTGGTACCCATGAGGACCTCGACTAGTTTTGTCATTTTGGGCCATGCCGGTGGGTTACCCTGTAAGTATGTTACGAGTTATGAGTTATGACGCGACTAGGGTACGTGGTGAGAGGGTTGACGCACTCCGGTAGCTGAGGGCACGACGAGCTTCTCCAGCTGATCGAGCGCCTTTTCCATCCTGCGTATTTGTAAGATGAATGGGATTGTACATGCGACAATGCGGTGTACTCACCTATCGTAGGTCACGCTATTTGCGAGCTTGACTACCCGGCATCGATCGGGGAGGTCGAGGTCATCCGATTGCGAGTCTGAAGCGTCAACTGCCACTACGATGCGTGTGTCCGTAACCTGACGGGGAAATGATGAGATTAGCTTTGACTTCCGGAAGAGAAGAACAAGAATTTATGGTCACTTTGTAGACGACACCCTCAACCGACCTGGCGCTCTTTCCATCACCTGCAGCAGGTTTCTTGGCTTTTGCGGGTTTCTTGGATGTGCCGCTGGACACATTCTCTTCGATCCTCGCGAGATCACCTGGCCTAAAAGATTCTCAGGTAGATATACTAGCGCCTCACATTCAGTACGGCTGCATCCTTACCTGAAAGTGTGTGGTGGAAAGATGGGTGTTGTGTGATATGCAGTAGGACGTTCCAACTCTACAAGGCTGCGACCCTTTCATTTGCATCAGATTTCTCGGAAAGCTTGGTGGCGTGCAAGACGGGCATTATCATACGTTTTTCCTCCTAAGCCTATGTTTATACTGGATACGCCTAGACCTCCCAAAGCAAGGCCTTTCTGCTCGAGGAGCTTCGGTGGGCAGTTCGATAGAAGAAGGTACGTTCGTTCAACTTCAGCCTCCCGCTCCCTGGATAGGAGATGGCGATGGCGTTGGATGAACGCTGCAAGCTCCGCTTCAGAAGACATATGAGAGATGGTGGAGAACCCTGCTATGTAGTTCGCTTATACGGGCAAGGGATTGAAGTGCGATCAACAGTGGACTGAAGGGTGACATTAGCGGGTGCAGCGGGCCGGTATTACCTGGTTGCATTGGCTGCTTGAACAGCTACGGCCTGCCGCCTTACCAGGGTCGTGACTGACACCACATCCATCATGTTTCAAGGCTTGGGTGCTAAATCGGAATCCTAGGTTGACAGTGTCATCATAGGGCAAATTTCAATTCTGGTGGGTGTTCCTTGGTTCATATGCTACCAGAGAAGCTCTTTCACCAGCGGCTAGCCAGAAATACAGGGAAGAACAAAATGATACGATCACATGTATATCCACATCTCACTTGAAAAACCCAGCGTCCTTGCAAACTCCGTTCACGAAGTCCTTGGCGGGATTCGGCGCGACTGGCTTATCGTGTACGAATAGACTGATAATTGCCACAATGAAACCGATAGCAGCGACAGCTACATTGTGGCGTCAGCGGGGTCAAATTACCTGCAGGCACGAATATATGGCCCACCTATACCGATGGGACCGCAGAAAGCTGCGATTGCAGTGTGCGAGGCAAACAAACCGATGGCCACAACAGCGGTCTCGATGATCGCGAGACCCAAAAAGATACTGTTGTATACAATGTCGGAGGTCGTGCCATGGTTGATTGCCTGCACGAGATTGTATATGGACGTGCCAACAGCGACGAGAGCCATTAGCGGGCCTAATAGTGTAATTGGGAATGAGACTTCCACCGAAGCTACCGGATGATAATCGACGACGCACCGAGTCGTTTGACAAGGAATTCAGCCGAACTAGGAGTGAAGATCCTGAAATCGGGATGTAACATGAGGCATTGATAACAAGTCACGGAATGCACGAGGGACGCACTTTGCCAGCTTAGAACTCTTGTCCACCACGGAGACACCCTTCTGCGTGAACCACTGCCCTAATATCGTCCCGACCGCGGTCGGGTTCAGAATCTTCTTCGAGACCCATGCTCCAAGCTGGGTGACAGCGAAGGAGCTGAGTGTTTGAATTGACAGAGCAATGGCAATGCCCGTGAGGCTGACAATCTCAACCGGGGTGAGCGGCATCACACCGCCACAGAGCGCGTATATCACGACACCGACGCCCGCAGCGTAGAGCAATGGCTTCGCAGCAGCCTTGATCGAACTCCCCCATTCCTTCGCTTTGGCGGCCCATGTTTTCCACTTGCTGGCGTGAGGGGAAAGACTTTCAGCGACCTCTTTGACGTATCCTTCGCCCACGATTTGAATGAACTGCTCCGACTGCACGTTCTCGCCCGCAACGATGAATGCATCGCCTAAGCACACAAATGAATCAGATTCGGCAAGTCAACCAGGGAACATCACATACGATATTTCTCCTGGATTTGGAGCAAGTCCCCGGCCTGCGACGCGTCAGATTCCTGTACTACGCTACCAAAAAAAGGGGAGGTACGTACCGTGAGCGACTTGTTCCACTTGTCGAGGTATATCTTCTCGATTCCGCGGAGTGCCTGATCCGCGGCCATGACAAAGTGGTCGACGGTCCCGTGAACCTGGACGCCGACTTTGATCGCCATGATGCGCGCGTACTCCTCCTAACAAGTGCACGTCATTGGCACCACAATAAAAGTCTGACAGCAAAGAACGGCGCTTACAGCGTTGCGCTTCTTGATCTCTTCCAGCTCCTTGTCTGAATACGCCATGATCGACTTAACTTGCTGTCCCCCAACGCGTTCAGCAACCTACCTTCGGTCTACCAAAGACACCCCACACTCACCAGCTCATACTGCTGCTTCATATCATCCGTCCAATTCACCTCGTCGAATTTGGGGAGCAATATCGCCGTGGTGAGACTATTCGCAACGTCCTGGGTCTGCCGCTGGACTGTGAGCCCGCGCGCCTCGGCCTCGCGCTGCAGGATGCTCAGCTGTGTCTGCCACTCGTACACCTGGCGGTGCCCGTCCGTGTACCCCGGCACGGAGTTCCTGTATGCCCAGCGTGCCAGGAACTTCCCGTCGCTGAGGTACGCCGCGAGCTCGTCGTGCCTGGACGGACAGGTGTCAATAAACGCAATGCGTGCGAAGGCAGCCGGGCGCACCATTTCTTTGGATCGTCTAGGTAGGGACGGAACGCGGGGACGCCCTGCTTGTATCCTACACCGCCAGGTCAGCCAGATGATCGTATGGATACTATGCTGGGTTACGCACCGATCTTGTACGTGTCCAGGTTCTGGTTGACAAACGCGCCTTGGATGTTCTTGAACGCTTCCGAGTTACGGTCCCAGCCGTACTGCTTCACGGGATCCTTATTCGGGTCGGGGGCGCCGAACGACCCGACCGCGTCCCAGAACAGCTTCACGCCTGGCAGAGCCAATGGTATAACCCACATGAAACGCCCGAATACAAGGAACACGACGTACGATCGTTGTTGATATGTGACTTGGTGTCGGCGTCTACTTCCTGGGCACTTGCCAGGTACTGAGATACATAGGCAATGCTGCCTTCCTGCCGCGCAAAGATATATCATTTCTTGAGACCATGCCAGCCGAGGTTTCGAGTCTTACCTTGTAGAACGCAGCGTTCTTGTCGGATACCTGCGGGCAGATATATCAGCTCGGGAAGATGGGGGCGGACGATATGATTAACGACATACCGCCTTCTCCTCGGGGGTCAGAGGCGCCAGTCCAGGGAAGAGCGCCTGCCGCGGCTTGTCGGGGATGTTGTTCAGCATGATCCGCTGGAAGACATTATTAGCCTGTTCCTGTGCGCTGTCCTTGACTACCTTGGCGGGCTTCTCGGGGGTGCCCTCGTCGGCGACTGTCAGCGAGGAGAGGTGCAAGAGCGCCTGGAGGGACAGCGCCGGCCCGTCTGCAGCCTGCGCGTTCTCCATCCCAGAGTCCGCAGAAATAGCGAACACCTGTGGCCCCAGCACCACCACCTCCGCAGCAGGTGCGGGAGTGGGAGGGGGCGCGGAAACGCCAATCCACACATACTCCGTGCGCATGACGCCCTCGTAGTACTTCCCGGTGAACGTCTCCAGCCCGAAATCAAAGGTCACGTCGAACCCGTATTGGCTCGCGCTGCTGTACTGCATCGCCAGCCGCAGCGGGTCGCCGAAGCCCCCGTTCGCGTTCGAGGTGCAGCGGTCGGAGACGTCGTCCTCGCCGCCCTCGGGCAGCGCTGGGTTCTGCCCGGGCTTGAAATCCATTACCTGCGAGGGGAGGAGTCAGATGGGGGTGGATCCAGGCTGGCGGTGCTTACGACGATCGGTTCCAGAGGGGCGCCTGAATGTGGCTGCCCAGCACCGAACCGCAAGACCGCAAACTCGACGGCCTTGCTCGGGTCCTCAGAGGCCTTGTAGCGTTTCGTGGTATAGTCTGGTTTTACATCCGCCGTCAGTGCAATGCCCTCCCCGTGGTGATAAAGCACGTACATGACACGTTGGTGCCGGCGACGGTCACCTCCTGGCCCTGCTGGTCTGTGATGGCTCCGAGGGCACTAAGGCAGTTATCCGCGAAGGAACTGCGCAGCCACAACCTCCATGAACCAGGCTTCGCCGATGAGAAAAGGAACGGACGAACAGTCTTCCAGCGGGCACCGCGCCCCCCTGGGTAGCCCACGACACGACAGAGGTCGCGGGGTTCCAAGTAGCATCCTTGACCTTATGGCCGGCGACCGTGAGCGAGGCGCCGTCCCCCTTGAACGCAATGGTGCCCGCGGACTGCCAGTTGCGCTGGTGCAGGCGGAGCGGACTGTCATCCCCCGTATCGGCGTCGTGGTCATATGCGTGCAGCGCGTAGGTGCGCGTAGAGCACAGGGGGTTATTGAGTTTCTTCGGGTCGAGGACGACGGAGGGCTGCATGCCGCAGTGGTAGGGCAGCTTGAAGGGTGCGTCGTCTGCGGCTCCGGCGAGGGCAGAGTGCATCTGTACTTCGAAACCAGAGAAGCGTATGGACTCCATGGCTGGCTGGTTAGCTTGCAAGGACAGTTGTTCAATGTTGATGGGTTCAATGGTAACTTAGTGTACGCCGTCCGAGAAAGGGCCGTTTATATGGGCGAGCATGGGCTCCTGCTGGGCTCGCGCAGGGTGCTGGACACTCGCCATGCAAGGCACACGAGCGGATGCTTTGGCGAGGGACGTCGGGGCATTCGCGCACCGACTGCTGGACACGTTAGGGACGAACGAGACAAGGACTAGCCAGGGGAGAAGACGTACGTGGAATAAGCTCAAGTCCAATTCAGGAAGGACACATAGAGTAGGAGCTCATTGTGCATGCCCAAGCCCTCCTGCATCTTTCGCGAGGGAAGGTAGGGAAGGTAGATCAGGAACGCCGGACTCGGAGCGTACCTCGTCCGGCGCTCGAACCTAGGCACAAGACGAGTGCAGACGTACAATTACTATTAGCTGGAATGATAGCAGGTTGAATGACAGCGTGTATTAAATGATGGCTATCAGTAGTAAAGTACTACTTTTCTAAGTTAGCTAGACTTGTCATTGACAGCCAGAGTCGGTCTACATTATAATAATTACGAACTCCTGAGCCCTCTCAACTTCAAATGTGTCCGATTGCGAGTGGAAGCAAAGTAGAAGTCATTGTCACGAGTTGGAAGCGGGTCAAGGATGAGCCAGTCAGTTGCAGTGTACTCTCCTCAAGCTCCGAGTCTCCTACAAGTTACAACTCTCCTGCCAGCGTCCAGCCTTAGTGCCCACTCCTTTAATATATTTAGAGTCATGTCGCACTCGTCGCCAGTCGACCTCCACATCAGAGAGCCTTCATCTTCGACGCAGAGCCTGAGCCCAAAGATCAAACCGCCACCGAAGAAATCATCCCTCAATGTACAATTTACCTATAGTCCCAGCGACGATGGCACCGACGAGAATCTCCTCCTATTCCTGCACGGTCTAGGTAGGTAACACCTCTCTGTTTCCCGCAACTTCCGCGACCCTTGTCCAGGCGATACTCTCGCGCCATTCAGTAACCTCGCCAAGTCCCTCAAGCTCCCGCAGACCGCGACGCTCGTCCTCCAAGCGCCCCTCCAAATTCCCTTACTCGACACACCCGCTTTCCAATGGTACCCCTCCTTTGACCCGCTTACTGGCGACCTCCTGCCCAACCCGAAGCCGACGCCCGCATTGGAGCTGCTGGATAAGGTGCTCGGCGTGCTCACGGCGGAGTGTAAGTGGCAGGCGGGGCGGATCCACCTGTTCGGTTTTGGGCAGGGCGGAAGCGTAGGGCTGGAGGGCGCGCTGAGGTGGTGGAAGGAGAAGAAGGTCGCGCTAGCGTCCGTCGTGTCGATTTCGGGCCCGCTCCTCTCTTTCCCTTCCTCATCGTCCGCAAAGTGCCCCACCCCTGTCCTATACTTCCATCGCCCCCAGCCATTCTCGCCGCCTTCGAAGGACGTCAACAATCTGAGTAAGGCGTTCTCGTTCGTGAAGGAGCTGCAGCACGCACCGGTGGGGGCGGAGGGCGGCGAGGCGATGCCGCGCAATAGGGACGAGTGGGAGGGGGTTATGCGATTCTGGAGCGAGAGGTTGTCAAGGAGGCAGTTTGGGGAGGGCGAAGCGGGGGTGTACGAGGTGCTCAGCGGGATGGGCGGAGCGAAGTGAGCGTGCCGACGGGGAGTTGAGAAGAATGTGAGTACCCTGGCTGCCGTTTGTCAAAGATACCGGGGACGTATGTGAAACTGATGGACCTAATCGCTTAATGGTCTAAATCGAATGCTATAATGTCACCAGATACGACAGCCATATCGATACGGCGCGGTACGTAACATATTTCCATCCTGTCCTGGTTTGCTAGGCTGGGAGGAAGTATGCTGTGCGCCGTGCTGCCGTGTTGTGAGTCGTTACGACCCTGCCAATCCGCGCATAGAGGGCTGTAGGCAGTGAAAATCTGACCATTTTGGTTATGCGTATCTTTCGTCCCAACAGAAACTATGGGATACAGTACGCATAACTCGCTCAAATGCTACAGACTCGTCGGAATCGTGATATGATGACGTAGCGTGCTTGTCCAGGCATAACATGCCATTGCCTCTTGGTCCCGACGACTCTGAAGTGTATATCTATTTCCCAAGGGGTGGTTGTACTACCGGCTGAGTCCAGCTCCGTACAACGATCGGACTTCATGCTCCCACAGGAAGAACGTGCGTCCCGCCATCTCTCGCCATGCAAGAGCAGCAGGAGGGGATGTATGCGCGCAATCCAGGCTGTACGCGTATTATTCACAAGGTACCAGACGTGGCGGATTCGCTGATGAATTCCCTGAACACAGCCGATGCACCAGCGGGAGGCCAGGGAAGACAAATGTGAGCGCGATAGCTGTCTTCTTTCTAAGATACTCATGGGGGTGGAGCTGAACCTCTGTTAGGCTTGGTGGGATAATGCCCTGTATTACCAGGCGCGAAAATCATCTAGATGGGGCGTGGTCCTAAGCCTACTGTCATTCTGTTTCAGGAGGATGTGTGCTGGTGCCTTCGGTGAGCAGAGCATCGCTACCAGTGAACCTGAACGCCTTGGGCATGGATATGGTTCATCTCAGAGGAACCCGCGGAATAAGCGGCTCTAGAGAGAAACTTACTAACATCGTGTTATAGTGATAGACGGCAAGGACCTCAGCTCTGCGATGTCACCTCGACTAGATGGTACACCCCGCTCATCTGTGCGTCCGGGCTCGCACGTGAAGGTGCGGTAGTGTGCACGGTCATGAACACCATCGCTGGCGACGGACACCTGCCTTGACCACAGAGTATTTGTAGGAACCGGACTAAGAGTGGAACTGAAGCCATCCCGGTTATAGTGGGAGTTGTACGTTCTCAAATCTTCTCAGATGACTCCCGCCTGCGCGCGTGACGGACGCGTCGCTGTGGCGCGGACACAAGCGCAAACACGGCCACACGACTATAAATACGCCTTCGCCTCGCCACATCCACTCTTCCAACCACACTCATCCGGCCACTTCGCAAGTCGAACTTGGAAGCCCTCTCATCGAATTACAGTCGTCCAACTTCCTCCCGCTGGCTCGTCCAACAGCCTCTCGCCTCAAGCCACATTCTCAACAATGTCATCTCAACTAGGTTCGCTCGCCGCCGAAAAAGAGAGCATCATCAAAAAGCTCAGTGGCGACCCGTACCGACCCTACGGGACTTTGGGTACCGGTGTACCTCATCTGCCCACAGAGGTCCTAGAAATGATCTTTGGCTTCGCGGCAGCGAATTTTAGCCACAGCACGGCGAGACCACCATTCAAAATGATCATCTCACTGGTCTGCAAGCACTTTCTCGCCGTCGCGTACAACACCCCGGAGTTGTGGGCGGATATCCGCATGACGTCGAAGGAGGACGGCACTGAGCGCATCAAAATCCACCTGGCGCGCTCGAAGGATCGCTTGCTCAGCGTCTCCGTGGACCTGACGCACGACGCGTTCGTCGACAACGCGGAGGTCATAGAGCGGCAGTGGAAGATGCTCGTGGGCGAAGTCCACCGCTGGCAACGCTTGGAGTTCAGAACCGAGTGCCTGCGCTATTTCGACCCGCTGCTATCGTCTCTGAGCGGGCTTGACGCGCCCAAACTCGAATCCCTCCAGATCTGCAGCACCACCAGCACCAGGAACACGGCTGAGCACGAATTCTTCGACGTCGACGCGCCGCTCTTTCTCGCTGCGCCCAGCCTGCGTCGGCTCCGCTTGCACGGGACGGCGTTCCCCGGCTTCAACAAATGCAGCCTCGTGAACGTGACGCATGTCGACCTCTTGTCTCCACCGGATAACAATATCCTTGACTACACCGACCTGCACGCATTTCTCTCCAGCCTGCCCGGTCTTGAGAGCCTGGCATACGGCGGTTCGCTCGCGTTTCCCCACTACAGATTTGACGAGTACCGGCGCACTCTCCCTCTGATGAATCTGGGCGGACTGCGGTACCTCCGGCTCGCCTGCGCGGACCCTGGCAGCTTCTGCACTCTTCTGAGTGCTCCCCAACTGCTGTGTTTGGTTCTGGACGCAAAGACCGTGGAGAACAAACATATGCAGCTCTCACTCCTTCGCGAGGCATTGTGCGACAAGACCCAGGGATTCAACAATATAACAACTCTGAAGCTATGGAACTTTGGCTCCGGGGACATCGCGCGCCTTTTCGTGCCTCCCGTGCTTAGAAATACATGCCAGGTCGAGCACGTCACAATCGTGGAAACCGACGCCGCCGCTTTGTTCAACGGGCTGCTTCCGCGAGGAACGCTGGATCTGCCATGGCCGCGTCTCCGCAGCCTGACGTTGTCTAACTGTATCTCGGCTCCCGAGCTGTTCAGATTCATCGTGGGCCGTCGCTATTCGGGGTATGAAATTCCCTCTCTAGTGATTAGAGATTACTTGCTCCACGAATATTGTGAGCAACTTCTGAGGGACGCTTCGAATGTGGACTTGAGGTACTGTTGGGAAGAGGACTTGGACATTGAGAAAGATTTCGATGTATAGACGTTGTCATAAGGATGCATCGCCGACACATCGTGAAAGTACACTAAGTGTCGTAGATCCGTAGAGTTACTATTCGTACACACACTCATAGAAGACAGACCATAATTACAAGTAGAACATCGTCTCGCCCAGCTTCCCACACGGCGGGCAAAGCAGGTGTCCTTTTTCCGGACGGCAGGAAAAAGGACACTATGTCCTTTCACGGCGACCATCAGTGGGTCAGGAAGTAAATCTGTCACGATTGCGTCATGGTCGTGACAATGGGTCACGCAGTCTGCATTTATAATATGAAAAACCCTCGGACGCTCAGTTTTACAAAGCGAAGCATGCCATATGACCCGATAGGTGACTTTCCGTCCATATTCGGACCTTAGGCTCCCATCCGAGCCGTAACATCACACTTCGGCAGCTACCGTCTCGGACCTCCAGCAGCGTCTACTTAGGTGGCACTGGGCAGAGTACCGTACTTGCATGGTTTTTGTATCCATCAGCAAGCAAGGTGGAATGTACTCTCATATCTCCATGCTCAACACTGTAGAGCCTGCCAGAGTTGAAGTTTGTGAATATCAGATGAGATTTGAGACCTGGTACGTACGAAGTTGCTTGCTATGCGATCTGGACGCACACCATGAATCGTCTCGGACG